TAATAATAATAATAATAATAAATAATATATATATATATATATATATATATATATATATATATATAGATAATGGATTTAAAGAATGAGAAAAAAAACATAAAATAAGGCGGTTTGAAAGTCCACTTAACGATTTGCAACGCTATGTCCTAAACTCAATTCCTACATAGGGTAGATACCCTCCCCCCCACTAACTCACCCAAAAAAAAAAGAAAAAAGTGATCTATGCGTCAGCACAAATCTAAAACATTAAACATTCCTTATTATCTCGACGGGTGCTCCTTTGCATGCATTTGGCTTGCATATTAAAAACAATAGTTGATGATGTACTTTTGTTGCATCCATCACTCCAATCTCATTCGTTTAATTGAAAATGTAATGGCCTCCATACCACCAATCTATTGCCATTATATCAAGGAAGATACAGGCTATGTTAGGAAATAACTTTTTTAGTATGTTTCCTAATATATTTCCATTTGAGGATATCAAGAAAAGATACCAAAAAAATAATATCGTGATATGGAATGTTTCTATTCATAAAAAAAAAGACCTGGATTGTTTCCAAAAAAATAATATCGTGATATGGAATGTTTCTATTCATAAAAAAGAAGACATGGATTGTTTCCAAAAAACATTTAAGATCCTATATCATATTCATGTACCAATCTCTTCCCAAAGATTTGGACAAATACTCTCTCTCTCTCTCACTATATTATTATCTCTTGGTACCTGTCTCTTTCTCTAAAGATTTGGAGAGAAGCGAGGTTAGGAAACATTAATCAACACCATGTAGGTAGCTTAATTGGTTTCCTAAAATTTCTCTTTTCCAGGCTTTCATTCTAAGCATTTGGAGAGATGGGATAATTTATAAAAGCCCAATTATACCCTACATAGTGCTCTGGACTCCTCTTTAAAGGTCACATGCCTTTCATCTTCGTTAAGGCCAAGGTCACCTTTTATTTTTGCTAAACCCAATCCATAACTCTGGGTTAATAATAGAATCTATAAAAGGTCCATTTTTATTCTTCTAACACATGTCCGACCCTCTGGCTTAATAATGATGTAGTATAGATATAGATAATCATTTAGAACATTATAATCTCTCCAAAAAAAAAATCGTTTAGAACATTCGACACTTGCCAAATTAAAGAGGATGGAAACTCTCTCTCTATATATACATATCTCTCTCACTTACAACTTGAGCTGAATGGCAAAGAGGGATGGACCTAGATTACTTAAGAGGAAGAAATATTATGTAATATTTCTTAGACCCGAAAATCCGGTCTTGCCCACTGTTCATTTCCCACCAGAAAGGAAAAAATCATGCACAAATCTTCAGACCTCCTTTACAATGAATATCATTTCCTTGAAAAACCCTAAACAAAGAATTTACTGTAATTGCCTTTAAATAGCTACCCTATCTCTCAATCAAAAATACCAATTGGTGGAACATTATAATTTTCTCAAAAACAATCTTGTAGAACATTATACACTTACCAAATTTAGAACATTATAATCTCTCACAACTTGAGCTGAATGGCAAAGAGGGATGGACCTAGATTACTTTAAAGTGGAAGAAATCTAGGTGTATTCTTTCTTAGTCCCGAAAATCCCACCAGAAAGGGAAAAAGTCCTGCACAAATCTTCAGACCTCCTATACAACGAATATCATTTCCTTGAAAAACCCTAAACTGTAATTGCCTTTAAATAGCTACCCCATCTCTCAATCAAGAATACCAATTGGTGATATCATGGAACTCATGTCCAACGCTATTGTCATCCCCTTCCACGACCTCACATTCTTCTTGTCTTCACTTTTCTGTCTGTCTTTGGTCGGAAGTATCACCGGTTTCCGGCTAGACCTCATTCATCGTGATTCCCCTGGCTCCCCGCTTCATGACCCTAATGCTTCAAGCTATGACTTATTCAGGCAAGCCACTCTCCGCTCCATTTCCCGCCTCCAACACTTCAACTCAGTCTTTGTCGAAAAATCTTTTTCGTCAAAACTTAAGATGATAGTGACTCCGATTCCTAGTGAATACCTCATGAAAGTTGGGATCGGGACCCCGGCAAGAGAACTCCAGTTCCTTGTCGACACTGGAAGTGATATTGTTTGGACACAATGCTTGCCGTGCACATCATGCTTCAACCAAACATCACCGACCTTTGATCCCACAAAGTCGTCAACTTATCGAAAGATCGGTTGCTCAGAACCCCTCTGCAAATATCTTCAGATGCCTTGCACGAACGACTGCCAATACTTAGCAGCCTATGCTGATAAAACATACACTAAGGGGATATTATCATCCGATACCTTCACCTTTCAAGATATTAGTGCTAATACGAAAAACATTCCTAGTATTAAGACCGGTGCAGATGCCTTAACCTCTTTTGAAGGAATTGGATTTGGGTGTGGTGATAATAATTCTAAAACTTTTAGCGCCACGGATGGGCTTGTCGGGCTCGGGGGTGGGCCCATGTCCCTTATTAGCCAATTAGGGAACTCCATCAACAAGACGTTCTCCTACTGCCTAGCACCAAGTGGTTCAGGCAAGCTTAGTTTTGGCTCTGATGCCCTTATTTCATCGAGCTATATCAAGTCCACACCGATTTTTCGGCTTGGGGATCCAACATATTACATCTTGTATCTCCAAGAGATCAGCGTCGGCTTAAATCGCATTGGTATCCCTTCAGGATTTTTCGATCCCAATAACCCCAATGGAAGCAAGTTGGTCATCGATTCTGGCACCCCAATGAATGTGCTGGCCCAAGTCGTTTACGACTTGTTGATTCAAGCATTGCGCGAAGCTATCAAACATCCGGCAACCAACGACTCCGGCCTGTGCTACAAAATGGAAACGCTCGGTGACCTTGCCGAAATTCCGAATATGACATTCCATTTTTATGGCGGTGCGGATTGGATTGTGTTTCCTGAAAATTCTTTTGTGGAGGTGTTTGAAGGGGTCGTTTGCTTAACTACATGGAGCGTTGCCTCATTTTCCATTTTTGGTAGCAATGTGCAGAGGAATATGAATGTGAATTACGACCTTGAGAATGAGAAGCTTTCCTTTGCTCCTGCTCAATGTAACAAGATTTAGGGTTTCAGTATTAAGCCATGCTGATTAAGGAATAAGATTTGCATGGAATATGAGTGATGAAGGAAGTTCCTATATTCTATGGACATGTAGGCTAAGGTTCAAAGCAATTGTAATTTTTATTTTTTTTACTTTTTTATTTGTTTTTCTTTTCCCTTTCTTTTTTGCTATTTTTGGGTATAGATTTTTTTTTTTTTTTGTTTAATTCATCGGGGAAGACAGCCCCTACCCGTTTATTCAAGTGATTAGGAGTTAGTATTTTTTTTAAGTATTAATAGGGTGGTGTTAGAGGTGGGATGGAAACCATGGTGATGCTACTACCATGACCCAGCCTCCTTTCCCATTTTTGGATACAGATTTCAGAGTGCAAAACTCTAATCTCTAAAACACCATATCATATGCATCCGATCGCGATATATTTGTAGCTAATTTCCATCATCAGTTTATACTAACCTCTGAGGATAGAACATCAAAAAGTATTATAGATGGTGAAATGAATTCTATATTTCATCAAGGTCACTCAAATATGAAAGTAGAGGCTAGTAAAACCGTTAGGTTCTCTTTTGATGCACCATAGAGAGCTTTACCAATATTTGTTGAATATACTGATATCGAAGGTTAGGATTGATATTGATTTTGATATTGCTAAGTTTCTTGAGCTAGTTGCGGTACTCATTAATTTTTAAGTTTCCTTATTGTGATACTCATTGAGTCCAACCAAATTGGCACGGTTATGTCATAAGTTTTATATATATATATATATATATGAAATAAAAGAGAAGAGAACTTATGTGTCATCATATAGGAAATGTGGCTTTCTTTAGAGATAGGCAAGGTGTCTTATGTATGCATTGAAAGGCAAGCTAGACAAATCTCATGGAGATTTTGGGTGGTTTTCTTATTAATGAAAGAAATTATGATCGCTCTCAAAGTTCTCTTCCTAAACAATGGAGCTATAGAGCAGAGCTGGGGATCTGCAAGAGATGTTGGCCAATAGAGCCGGTATAAAAGAGGTTCGTAACGAGGTTTTGTCGAGGATTAAAGAGATAACTTTGTGTTAGTTGCTCAACTACCTTTTGTCAAGGGTTAGAGAGGTAACTTTACATTTTAGAATTTGTGATGTAACTCTCATTGGTATAGTGGATTTCAATTTGCCATATCCACATATGTAGCTCTTTTGGATGAGCCACATAAATCTTTATATTTTTACTATGTATGTGTTTTATGCGTTATTTCTCATATCATTGTTCATATTCTCACTAATTTTGTTTCTAGTTGGATCCCAAAAGAGGTTCTTAAATCTTAGCAATGTCCATGTATATTTGGAAGTTAGAGCAAACTGTCTGTTTTTTCCTTGGACATGACCAATTTGGTAAATATTACTAGAGGCAGTTTGGCAAAGAGTTGAGCAATAACAATTTCATTTATTCTGTATGGTAGGCTCTTTCTAACTTTCAACAATTGGAATCCTATTCAGGTACATGCATTACTACTACCTCACAATATTGTAGAAAGAATAATATGATATTAATTGATAGTATAAAATAAAAATTGTGTAAAATTGTCCATATATATAGTTCTAACTATATGATAAGGTTACAATAGAGGTGATTAAGCTAGCTCTTAAGGTTCAGAAACTCTTTTTAATAAGTAGAAACTGGAAAGTAAGTAATTCACTAATAGAGAAATTTTTTCAAAGAAAGGACAGTGTTTTAGTGATGTGTATGAAGCTGAAAACATAATTAAGCATTAAAAAACTAAAACATAACTAAGTTCCAAGTCACATTCAAGGAAAGAAAAACTGCTATTGGAATATAACTGAATTTAAGGCAAGGCAACATATGAATAATTAAAAGAAGTGCTTTGTCCATATCTAAGCTTGAAAACCTACAAGCAATAGTGAATGGAAAATAATTGAATTTAGGGCAATGCAATGTTTGAATAGACCAAAAGAAATGCTACTAAGCAAATTTGTCCATATGTAAGCTTGAAAACCTGCAAGCTTTTCAAAATATTTCTCGAATAACTTTTCACTATAGATTATAGGCAAAAATACTAACCATGCATTTCGTCTAATTCAACTTTCAATCATTATTTTATTGTGAATCATAACAGTTATTAACACTAACAAAAATAAAGAATTTTAAATTTTATGTACAAATAGTTAACTTTAAGATTCAAGAATTTACACTTTTGTTGGTAAGAACAATTCTAATTTTATAATTCTTTAAACTGTATATTGGATAACTATGTCTTCCTAAAGGTGAATTGAAATTTTCATTAATATAAAATTGTAAAATTAATTTTCTCATGCTTTGAAAAAAAAAATTGATTTCAAAATTAAAATATAAATAATGACCCAGTTTAATTTTAACAAGTAAATTTTATAATTTTCACTTGAATTTAAACTGTTTAATTATTCCATAAAAATTTATTTAGAGATTAACTTGAAATAATAGTAATGCCCTATTATAAACACAAATAATAATTGGAACTTTGCTAAATCAAAATTTAATTTTATTACCATAATACGAACAATGGTTAAAAATTAGAATTTTGACATTTTATAATTTAATTTATAAGGTGATATTATAATTACAAAAAGTTCATAAAGATTCAAGCTTTAGCATATTCTTGATGAGAATATTTTCTGCTACTCGGCTTTTTAATTGCTTTTGCCTGAGAAGATAATTTGATCACCTTCAGTGTCAGGTAGGTAATTGAAAATACAATTGGCCCTGTACTTTTTAATGAATACAAATAATTATAATCTAAATTTAATTTTTCTACTCGTTAATGATTTGTGCAATTACAATTTAATTCATAATTCTAATTATATACTCTCATAGATTTTTCAATTAAATTTTTTAGAACTTGATATTTAAAATCATATGCAAATAAAATTATTCGAATTAATATTTAGATTTTAAAAAATATAGCCTTTTATATAAAGTTTACGGCTTTTAAAAGAAATAGTGGAAAATAACATGCAATTTAAAATTTTCTTTAAATGGATTTCATATTTCGTTATAAAATGTAATTTTGTTTTCAATAGGGGCTTCTTATAAGGAAATTACGAAATCAATGAACTATTTTATCAAATTTTCAAAGAATTCTTTTGTGGAAACTTAGTCAACATTGATTATGCCAAGATTTTCTGGATGTGATCATACATAATTGGTTTCCATCTTGTGGATCTCTCAATATTACAACATTGACTCTTGTCAGTCTTTTTCCATACCCTGAATGCTCATCATTGTTGGTTTTTGTGGCCATTCAAATGTATTATGAGTGCTTGTATTCAAATATTTGATCCAACTTTTAATCATAACCCCATGACCATGAGGTTAACATTGGGCAAAACCTATTATATAAGTAGTTTTAGGACCAAACAACCCCAAGGAAAAAAATCATGTATACTCTATATATCAAGAAAATTAATTTCCAAACATTGAAAAGAGACCATACAATCTTTGGATAGGTTCAATATAGATAATAGAGAATGAAATAGAATCATTGTGTGTGATTTTGAGATATTTAGATGTTGAATCTTATCATAGGTAATTGTCTTAATTTTTTGGGAATGGATTTGAGGTGGTGGTGGTAGAACCACTTGAGCTTTAGCTATCGTTTTAGGTTTCCATTCCCACTTATGTATTTAAAAACAACTAATTATTTAAATACATTTGACTCTCTCATGCCACTTATTTGTAGATCTTTTTCCGAAGTGTAAAATTGAATTGCTCTTATTGATATTGATGGTGAAACTCTATATATTATAAGGATCCAAATAAAGTGAGAGATGAACTAAAGCTTGAAGAATTGAGACTCAAAGATGCAGAGGGATGCCCTTCTCATCCTTGACCTCAATTATATGACTTTTGTGGATCGGAACGGACCACCTGTCATTGATGAAGAAGAGGCAATGAAATACATGAGGGAAAACCTAGCATAATTTACGTTGTAAAGAGTTTGAAATCTTACACGTATGTCCGAAGGTCCTTTTCTAAAGGGTAAATATCATGTCTTGAGAAAACATACAACTTTTATTTTTGGAGGCAGTTCAATGGTATGACATTGAACCAATTATTGGCGACATACAGATCCGCAACAAGGGTAAATAAAATCTAAGGTTCATATGGAGCAGAATGGGAGCATAGCGAAGATTTCTCAAACTTGAAGTCGAGTTCTTTTCAAGAAGGGGTGAATGATGCAGCGCCTATTTAACACTAAGGTGGCACCCCAGTCTGCGTATGGTTGTTGCATGAGAGAGTCATAATTATTTGGCATCGACTGATTCCGTGACAAGCCGGTCCAGTGATTCCTAGAAGCACCTTGCAGGCCATGGCCTACATTGGAAATAAGTTCCAATTGTCATGGAATACAAGGCTCTAAATTGTGGCTTTTTTTGGGCTGATTTTTTTTAGTAGTAGCTGTCAAATCTTGATCATAGTTATCTTTAATAAAAATAACCATTTAAAATTTCTTGTCATTCCCTTTTCATAAACTGTGAACCTCAATATTATTCATTGGGGGTTGTTTGGATGTACTTGTTACCATAGATAATTCATTGTTTCAAATATAATTAATCTTGGATTATATGTTGTTTGGCATTGTTCCTCGTAAAATTATCTAAGATAAATAGGCAAGTAAAAAAAAAAAGGCTAACATTTTTCCTACCAACTGAAAACATAATGACACATTATTTAAGAAAAAAGACATCAAAACAAACTACAACCTTATTGTAACCAACTCAACAGAAAAGGAGAGGAATATGTCTAAAAAAGAACACCAAAACAAAACACAAAGTGGATTGATACTGTAACAAGCAGTCTTAACCACCACCAGCACAGCTCGCTCTTTGCACCGAAACCCTTCTCCCAGAAATGTCATATAAAACCCTAAAATCTTGTTAGCATGATACTGTAACAAGCAGTCTTAACCACCACCAGCACAGCTCGCTCTTTGCACCGAAACCCTTCTCCCAGAAATGTCATATAAAACCCTAAAATCTTGTTGCTGATACGTCCCCAAGATAGACATTTTATCTGATGCCAAAATGACCATGCAAAATATTCTGGCATTTCTATCGACGTAAAACACATTTTCCGGCATCAGTTCCCAATCTTTTTCCCCAAAATGAAGTGTCAAATTAGGAAACTCATTAAATTCTGGAGTCGGAATTTCCCAACAAAGGTCAAAACTATACTTTTTTCCATCAATTTGTGTCAAATTCCAGGCACCGGAAAACCAGTAAACCATACCATCTTTCAAATATGAGTAACCCGTTTCTCTCAAATAAGAAACAGTGGCTCCTGAATCGATCACAAAACCACCTTTTTTATCAGAATCCATGTCAAACACCTTAGGTGGTATCCCTAACCGGTTGTCCCCTATGCTGATATCTGTTAAATTCAGATAATACAGTGAATTTGCATAGTCTAAGAGCTCGAAGCTTCTTACATCAGGTCCTGAAAGCTTAGCTTCAATGCCAAATCTAAGCTGGCTGGTTTGTGTTTCAGTGGTTTCAAGCAAAAGCCTGAGTAAACAATATGAGAATTGATGGTATTCTGATTTGTAGTATTGTGAGATAAAGGAAATGGGACTATTGCTTAGGCCAAATATGCCGGAAAATCCACCAGGAAATTTGAAATTCCTGTTGCTAAAGCCACAGCCAATGGCAATTTTCGGTGAGAATTCTGGCTGGTCGCCAGAATCAGATGAGAAAGTTAAGGTTTCGGTGGCAATTTGGCCAGAGGTTGTGGCACTCTGGCCATAAGATGAGGAGAAGGTGCAAAGGTTTGTATTGTTGTCACAAAGAAGGCCATTACAGAGAGGATCAGAGCAATGAACAGGAGAAAATGATTTTGAAGACTCCGGTGAAAAAATGGGCACCGATTGAGAGAAACAGGGATCACACGGCTCACATTGTATCCATAGTATTGGACTGCTCGTGTCTAAAATGGCAAGCTGTTGAACTGGTGGGGTTCCTAGGGAGAAATTAACCAGGTATAAGTAGCTATCACCATGGATCTCTGGTGCCATTTCTTGTGGAACATGAGATTGGGGTTTACGGCTGGAATTTTTCACTGGAAAGTTTGATAGGTAATGGAGGCGGTGGCTGGAAATTTGGACAAGTCGTCGGAGTCTTGCAGCGGTGGTGCGGTTTTGGGAGGAGAGAGAGAGGTGGTGAATGAGGGGAAGAGAGAGGGAGGAGGAGAGGGAAATGATAGTGAAAAGAAGTATCATAAAACAGAGTTTTCCTGTCATTTCTCTCTAGCGTCTTTGTTTCTTCCTGCTGTTGTGGGTGTTAGGATTACGTGCTTTTAAAGGGGAGGGCTGGTGAATTGTAAATTTACATTACAACGTTAATATTTTTTCTCCTTTCTGTTTCATTTTTCTGACAGCATCAAGAAAATGCTTGCACGTTCCATTCTATTTCAGAGAGAGATTAAGTTGGTTCCAACTATTCAAACTTGTCTAAAAAAAAGAAATTTTTTTTGAAGGTTCCTTTTTGTTTCTTTTGGAAATTTTCCTGTGGATGGGGCTGCTCTTTTATACAGTGTTGACAGAACCCCCAAAAACCGAGCATCTGTTGGATGGCGGCTCCTGCTCTAACCGCAATTTTCGACTGTTCATTTGCCAAACATCATGAAGTACAATTTTATGAGCTCAATTTCTTTTTCTCTTTTTTTTCCTTTTTTTTTGGCATCGATCACATGATAATCAAGAGACTCTTGGCAAAATTTCAGTTCCAATAAATTATCGTGACATGGTTTTTTGGGGATCCGTCAATACTGTACAGAAACACAGCGCCACCCAATGTCATCTTCCCTCACCCTCCCGGCCGCCTCTCTCTCTCTCTCTCTCTTCAACCAAGCATACAAAAGAATGTGCTCATTGCATGAATGTCAACTTTGAAAAAGTGCTTCACTAATTAAGCAAAAGATGTAGTTTCTGAACTTCACTGTTCTTTATTAATTTCCATCTTCGTAAAGTGGTCCAATTTAGTTGAAGGCTAATTTTGCCGTCAGTTATGAGGGCATATGTCTGTATAGTTAGGTAGGTTGAATGCATGAGCAACAAGATTCCATAAATTTGATTAATAAAGCAGGTTTAGAGTTTCCAAAATTTTTCGATTTTAGCAAAATTCATCAAAGATATCACTCATGTAGCGACAGTCACAAGCTTTGGCATTTAAACTTATCACTGCTGTACAAGGTTTTTGAGGCAATCAATTGATCCAAGTTGTGCAGAAGCCTGAAGAATATAAATGCATGAAAACATCAGATTTCATATGAATATCCTCTCAATTATACATCTTATCTCACCACTATACAACCAACAAATGATAAAATACACCTTCATACCAGCCTTTCATAGCTCAAATGTGGGAACTTCCTTAGTGAAACCCCATGTCGCCTGATACAAAGCCCTCGGTAATAAACTCCTGTAAGGGTCCTCCTCTCTCTTCTTCCTTAAGTAGGACATAATGTTCTCCACCTCTGACTTTAAGTACAGGTAGAGCTTATGCGCTTCCTCTTTGTCTCTGAATTCATCCTTTTTCTCTCTAGTCTCAATAGGCGTCCCAAATAAATAATAAAATCGCCCAGGTATTTTTGGCAAAAGCCCAGGCAAATGCACGTCTTGGTTTGCTACCTCCCCAGTCAGATCAGTCCTGTTATCACAAGCACCAACACAAGCTTAAATAGCTCTTCAAGCTTTTAAAATTCTTTGGATATGTGTACTCTGATGATTGTTATAGCTATCTGTTGTGCTTTACCTCTGGTACTTGATGCAGAGTAATAAAGGGAGAGCTGATTTGTATAAGGTGCAACCAAATATGTAAAAATATCAGCATTACACTTTGGAAGGTTAATTGTATGGGGCCAAATAAATTTTTGAAACTCAAATATACAAGTAGTTACCCCTTCAACTAAGTCACAAAATATGCTTTACCTCCGGTACTGGATGCAGAGTAATAAAGGGAGAGCTGATTTGTATAAGGTGCATGCAAATATGTAAAAATAACAACA